AAAAAGCTCAAATTAGGACAACTGCCAAATAAGAGACCTGATGGGATTGAAAAGGAACTTAATTCAAAATTGTGTAAAAAAAAGTGAGTTTTCTATGTGCTTTCAGCCTTAAGCCCTGTGAGTTTCAAAATAAAGATACATCTTAAAGATGACTATTTGAATAGTATAGAATTCAACTTTATTGTTATTACACTGCCAAAAGTACAAAGCAACGAAATTCACTCTCTGCATTTAACCAATCCCCTTGGGGAGCAGTGGGCTGCCATTGTGTGGCGACAGGGGAGCAGTGTGGGGTTAAGGGTCTTGCTCATAGAGAGCCAGAGTGGCATTCTGTGTGGGGCTCGAACTCAGAACCTCAGCAATTCCAAGCGCAATGTCCTAACCACTTGGCCGCCACTCTCCCCTCCAAAATCATGTTTCAAAATATGTAGCCGCTGACACATGACCCACAGCATCACTACAGTAAAACCATTCCTGTCTGAAGCTGAAATATATTTTTTTCCCCCTTTTCCAATACCAGCTATAGTTATATTGAAAGCTAATAGTTGTGAGGGCTGGTTGGTTTTGGACTTAAAGTCTGCATGCAAATCATGTGAATGTTTCTTGTATATATATTATATGGTAATAAAAGTTTAATAAGAGTTGTATTATCTGCTTATCATATTTCATGACATGTCCTGATCCATAAATAAAAAGATAATCATGGAAGGATGAACAAAAAGCACATTCAAACATTGACCCTACAGAAACAGATGGGAGTCCAAATAAAGAACTGAGTTGTATTTGGAAGCATTAGAAATGGAGCTTGGCACTCACACCAAGGAGCAGCTGAAGCAACTCAGCATCATTCTTTGATTGCTCATAGACATAACCGTCCTGTAAAATATAACAACTACAACAAACAGCCTCTACAGGGCAAGAATCTCGCTCTACATATAACCAAAGAGCAGCTTGGATATGTTGTACTTAATTGAAACCATTTTGTTATTTTTTTATTCAGCTTACCAAATTAGCGTTGGTGTTATTACTGTCTTCTTCAGGCATGGGCAGGAACACAGCCAGAGCAATACAGTTGGCAAAGATGGTCAACAGAATGATTATTTCAAAGGTTCTGGATGATGAAGGCTTAGGATCATAACATGAATCACTGTCTCCTGTGTCATATGGGGAATAACTCAATAACAAAGTGACTCTATTGTGTTAAAGGTAACTCTCTTTTGAGTAATGGTTTGATCTTAGTTATATATATATATAGAATATTAAAAGACATATCATTTGTATGAGCTGGAGTGATCTCTGGTTTTAAAACCTCTCTGGCATAGCTGTTGAACTGAATGCAATCATGTCTACTGTGCTGCCTAATTCCCATCCATAGGGGGCTCTCCAAGAAAATTCCCCTGCCAGCTCAGCATCATGTCTCTCTGTGATGTTGAGGGACAGCTGCAGAGCCCAAGAATATGACAGGCCATTTAAACCAGGCCTGCTCGTCAGGGGAAAAATACCTTTGCTCACACTGTAAGAAGTTTTCTTTACAAATGCATGTATAGCGACTCATTTTTAACTGCTAGATGATCATTTTCAGCCATTCATCTTATTTTGAACTGTTTGTTTGGATGTATTACATTCACCTGCAAGCAGCACACCTAAATAATGCATGTAACCAACTAATCTTAGAATATTTACATGTTATGAACTACAGGAAAATTCAATAAATTTGTTTTCCGTCCACTGGAGTGGTTCAGATTGAAAAAAACCTTTTGTAATGTACCATTTTTTTGTGTTGGTCTTGTACAGTACTTTAAACTTAAAGTTGTTTTTATTTGCTGCAAGCTAAAAAGTAAGGTAAATTTTGCCAATACGCAAGATTAGCGGCAATTAAAGGTTAAAAAATGTATATGATTAAAGTTAAATGCAGAGAAGGGGGTTTAACTCATCTTCCCTTCAGTTAGCGGACTGGTTTTGGTTCCCAAATCTCAACAGAGTGACTGAAGTCTAGAAATGTTTTCCAAATAAACCAGCAGAATGTGGGGTAGTCAGGTCATTAAATGGGTAGTCGATTAATTTCATTCGATTGATGGGAACAGATTGTAATCAATCAGCTTCAGTTGAAAGATCAGAGTTATAAAAACACTGAGCCAGCCACAAGCATTACAGAAATGTTCATAATTAAAATGATCACCTGTTTCCAGATTTAAAAATAACGTCATTCAGTTCCCTGCCAGGGTTAAAATAACTCAATGATATAATGAATAGTTTAGATGCTGTGTATTCAGAAGAAGTGTATGCAGAATGTGCCTGTTAAAGTTAAGACAAAAGGATACTTCCACTCCACGATGTTGATGCAGGCCTTTCGGAAAGGGTTTTTCAGGGTGAAGAGGAACAGAGATCTGGCAGGACGAGGGTTGCCCCCTGTGGCCTGAAGCCTCTTCAGCTTCTCCCTCTGCTTCTTCTTCAGTTCCTCTTCATTCATGATGACTGGCTTGGCTGCATCCGCGTTGGTCGCCATCCTGATGCCTTCACCTTACACGGCCTTTCCACGAAATTTACTAAACAATTAATTAAATCCCAGATTGTGGCACAGTGTAGATCTTCCTCTGTGAAGGCCTCCAGAGCAACCTATCTTGTTTGCGGGTAACCCCCGCCGCCCTCTCCTGTAGCTCCCCTCCTTCTCCCTTGGTCAGACCCACGGACCTCTCCTCCTGACTAGAGACCTCTGAAAGAAAAAGCTCACCTCTGTAGAGACATTTAAAAGAGGCTCTGAGACTGGAGGAGCAGTTGCCTCTGCGTCAGTTTAAATTTAGACTGTGAAATACTGGCAAACCATGCTTGGGGATGATTGGGAGGGCAGAAGGGGAAAATGGTGGTAGAAGGGGCAGGGCAACTGTGAATGATGTGAGAAAGAGATATACAAAGTGGAGAGGCACCTGCAGCTGAGGCTGCACCTTAAACTGTAAAAAATAATAGTAAAAAAGAAAGTAGCCAGAAAATGTGCAAAGAAACAGAGTACTTTTAATGATAGTGCATTATTCTGCAGGATGGAAAAAACTTAAAAAAAAAACTTTTTGCAACATGTTTGAAATTCTTTTGGGGTAAAAAATTTCTCTCACTGTAAAATATGCAGAAAATCCTTTATGTTAAGAACTTGGGCAGGGATTGGAAAGCTAACTACAGTCCCTGCAAGAATGTTAGTATATTATCAATATTTTGGCAGATTTAATGGATAAACCCAAAGCAATGCAAATGTACAAAATCAAATGGAAATAGTTGTGTCACCGTTTAATAAAAAGAAAATGTAATACAGCATGCAGTACATAATGCACTATGTTTATACTGGAGCTACAACTGTTTTGGAAAGTATTTCTCAGCAAGCTTTGAAAAACTTCATGTTAAAACCTTCACCGGGTCTTTGAAGGTGAGACTTATTTTTAGAATTTTACTGAGCAATTCTTTAAATAAATATACTTCAAACTGAACACTGTATTACTAAGGTATGGATCTGGCTTCATGTTTGGAATGATGCCTTGCTTGAATAACACAGTCTCTAGAGTTTTTAAAGCCTATAACATCCATCTTCCAATTATTTCCTCAGGCTTCTCTCTTCATGCTGAATAAAATGGTAGCAACCATCCTTACTTAATGACTATGCCACCATCATGCATTAATCACCATCAATTCTGGGTCCTTTAAAATACAGATGTCAGAATCCAGCTTTCAAAAGTTGGTGTTCTGCAACCTTTAAATGACTCTCTGCTTTAATACACATAAATCATTTTATTAGATCCTTTGCAGAATTCTGGAAGACCTTTCCTCAACTGAGGATGTTGGACGAGGTAGTTATCTAAAAGTTACAGGATAAGAGAAAGCTATAAAAGCATCACTTAAAAATGTATTATAAATGTGTTAAAAATCCATCCGTCATCGTCTCCTGCTTATTCCCTCATGGTGGGGCCGGTGCCTATCTCCAGCAGTCTATAGGTGCAACAGTCGTCGCAGGGCAGGGAATATCCAATTATGAATACTTTTTTATTTTATTTTTTATTAAAAAATACAAAATATGAAAAAAATAGTCAAACTATCTGGTTCAAATTGTTTTTCATTCAGGAAACTATAACGGTCTTAAAATCATAATTAAATTAAATCCAAATTTTCTAAATCCGGTGAGTTAGTTAAATATAATATAAAATGACCGACTTTAAAAATAAGATTCAATTTGATAAATGAATTTGATCTAACACGAAGCTCACTTGTTTGCTGCTGTCGCCCCCTACTGCCCGTAAATGTGAACCAAGAAGAGAAATAAATGAAAATCTGAGTATCAGGCTTTTTTTTTCTTCTTTTATTTAAGTCAAAGCTGCTTAAAGTTAAGAGACAGTGAGAGCAATCAACGCAAAAGAGAATAGACATAAAAGTATAGACAGGTGACAAAATCTAGGGAAAAATACAACAGACCAACATGAGATGTACGTTCTACCACCATATGTCACAAAAACAACTTTAATGAATTTATCTTTTCATTATTTTGTAGAGCTTAACTGAAAGAGAGGAAGGAATATATCAGCATTTCCCATAAGAGTAAAACAGAATTTGACAGCAGTAATCCTAAGTTAGATGTCTTTTTCCAAGTACTAAAATATCATAACTTCTTCTGCTCATAAATAAAAAGCAACAACACTCGTATGAGATGATAGTGAATTCAACTCCATTTCAAGTAATTAATGAAAACTAAACAACAAGAAAGTACAAAACACCAGCAGATCACACTATGCAAAATCAAATGAGAAAACCTGGCATTCATTTATGTGTGAATTGCTTGAAAACTTGAGAGGAACCTGAAAGCACTATGCAAGAAGTCCAGTCTTTATTCACCACAGCACTGATTCACCATTAATGATGACAATTTTTAATTTATTCATTAAACTAAAATATGGTCCATCAATGTTATTTCGAGGAATACCTTAAAATGTGCTCACCCAAAAAAAAAAAGTTTTTTCCTTGACATGCAGAGGCGGTCTGAAATGGAATGGGCAGGAACAGGTAGGAGGGGAGGAGGTGGAATCACAGGGTAAGCAGACCCATCCATCCTTCTATCTATTTCACTGGAAAGAGCTTCTGTTCTGAATCAAACAGTTTCGTTTTAACAATCAGTAGGCATGGTAAGGTGTGGTTCTTAAAATTTGTTTTAACATTTTTTGTTTTTCTTTTTATTTACTTTTCTCATTAAAAAAAACATTAAAAAGCTGATTGGCATTTCCATATATTAAGTGCTCTTAAGAATAATTTATTTTCCCTTTTTGGATCTAAAATTTCTTCAAGCTTTATGATATTTACTATTTGAACGAATGGCAACATTGCAGAAGAATGAATTCATAACTGTAAAGCTACTAATTATAAGTAGTAGAGGTTCACTTGGCTGACAGGAATCTATATTATATTAAAAAAGTGGTTCATTGTGAACATTTTAAAACAAATCATCTTGTTGGTTTGATGAAATTGTGCCAAACAGTAAATGAATAAACCAGAACATATGGATTATTTGGTAATTGAGTATTGTTATCAAAACAAACCTCAATGTGTTTTTTTCTTTAAAGCTCATGAAACTGGAGATCCACAACAGTCTTTCTTTTTAAAATAACAAAAGGGAAAGCTCCTAATAGCAATAGTGGAAAAAAAAAAAAAAATTTAATAAATTATCTCATCCTTTAAAGCAGCTTAAAATAACTGTTAATATATTTATGAATGTGCAAATATTTTTTTCTTTTCACTAAGTTCACATTAAATGATGATAAGAGAAATACAATGTTAAAAATGCTCTGCCTGTTAGATCAGTGTCTAAAGCCTTTAAGTTATACAGGCCTTGCATTTCACATGAAATCTGAGGTTGAAACAGTGCAGCTGATGAGGGTGTAATAATACGAGTCCTGGGTGTTTTTGTTTTTCACTCTGAAGATGTTGACATTCAGTTGTGAGGTTTAACTCAGCAGCTTATGGCGATCAAAAACAGTCTTGCGCTGTTCCTGCACCTGCTTCTTCCAGCGTTGCTGTGCACCCTCAACTCGCTCCAACACTGTGTTTCCTCTGGCCAGCCCAGTGTCTGGACGAGGACGCATTTCCTGAAAACACAAAGGAAAGACACCTTAAAGACAAGCAGCAGCCAAAAACCCAAAACTTCCATCTCCCCTGAATTGCAGCCTTCTTTTACATAAGTCCTACGTGTTACCTCAGAGTCTTCCTCGTTGTGCAGAGGTTGGATGTAGGGGTCGTGTTTGCGGATAAGAGGATCCACAAGCAGCAGAAACAGCATATAGAGAAGCAGAGCCCCGACAACAGACAGGTACATGATGATGGTCACCTGGGGCATGTTGTTAGAACTTTGTTAGCCTAAACAAACTTTGTATGGAAATACATTTATCACATACTATGATTTTTTCTTTAACACAACACAAACCTATTCCTGTTATTTTAACAAAGCTCTAAGATGTACAAAATAAGCATTCCACTGATGATTTTTCAGATAGATGAATAAAACAGGAACCTGAATAATTACACTTGGTACCTTTATAGTGTTGCTGCTTCGCTCTTCATACTTGCACTCACACAACAGACAGTAAGCTTCCACATCATGGCCAGGAACTGGCATGGGATCCACCACATGGAGGCAGTTGCTGGAAATGATTGAAATTATGTTTTCATATTAAAAATCTGACAATGGTAACAAATTCAAACAATATTTATTTATACATAAATTCTACAAGTGCCAGTTAAATCAATCTTGAAGGCCAATATGAGAGCCACCTCTTGAGCTGGTGTTTCAGGGGCTCTAGTAGGGAACCTAACTTCAGATTCATTCAAATAAGACTACAGATCAGCACTGCAACAACAACATAGAGACACTGCTGGTTATAGTAATTCATATAGACAATAAATTGTGAAAGCTGGAGTCTAAAGCTTGAGTCCACTGGTAGGGTGAAAAAGGCAGCTATGAAAAAAAGATAAATAAATAAAACAACTATTTCTCTTTTTACTTTAACCTAGTACATAACTTTAAATAATTGTGTACTAGGTTATAAAAAAAAAAATCAACAACTAAAAACCAAATAGCCTCTTTAAGAGGGAAACAATAATAAAAAAAAATAAAAGCTGTTATTACCAAATTCAAATATGGGAAATATTGAACTAATACGATGCTAAAGCATCATTAGATTCCCTTCTCCAGTCCGTTCTGGCACACACCAACTGGTTAAAGGGAATCTGATTCAATGTAGGTAAAGATAAGATATTCTTGTAGGGCTCTTCAGATAATTGCTCATTCATATTGTTTAGCAAAAGCTGTTTGTTTTTTATCATTATTATTATACAAGATTAAAAGAATCCAGTTAATAAAGACAACAACAACTGGAGCAACAGGGACTCTAATAAAGATGCACATATCCCCATTATTGAGAAAATAAAAGACCAGAGAGAATATAGTCTGGGAGGCTGACATGAGGCCAACAGCAACACTGGAAGAGCAGCATTATTTTCTGACTGTTAATGGTAATGCTTTACACATGACAACAACCTGCTGTGTTCTCTGTATATGAATTAACTAAAGAGTGGGACTAAAAAACTAAAAATCTGTCAAAGGCTCATGGAAGATTGGGTTGTTTTAATGAAAAAAATCTTCAATTTGATGGTCAAAATTTAAAGATGACAATTTAGCAAAATAAACCCAACCATTACTATTATACATTATGTCCAGTGAGACACGGTGGTGGCAGTGGCATGCTGTGGTGTTATAATTCTTAATTAGATAGAAATAAAGGAAATAAGCATGAAAAAAAGGATAAAATGCTGCCTTCTCAAAAATTATTTAAACAAATCCCAGTTAGGATTGTCAAGAATAATTCTAACTATGATTGATAATTAATAAGATATGTGGGATGGAACTTTTCTTCCTGCCATAAAAAGATTCTCTAAAGTTTCTTAATCTAACTCAGATAATGTCAAGAAATATCAAAGCTTTCCTCCCAAGAACTAACCAAGAGAATCTGACTGGACACTATGTGAATACTCCCTATGTAAGTGCAAATAAAAGGCTCCTCTTACCAATCTTTCTGGGTGACGTTTATATTATAAATGTGTCCAGAGATGTTCCTGTATGGTGGGCAGATGCATTTGCAGCGGACATCCTCAAAGTTCTACAAAAAAACAAAAAACAAAAAAAAACAACAAAGAATTTATTTAATGCTTTTTAAAACTGTTTTTTTACTTATTCCACCACATGTTTCCCTGTTGAGTAAAACTCAGTCACAAACCAATGGAAAACCAAGACTGAATGAATGAAATTGATCATTAAGCTACAATAAGATACTGTATGAGGAGTGATGAGCAGCATAAAACATAACAGTACAAAACACTTTTTTTAAACTAATAACTAATTTATGAATAAATACAAATATTAGAATCACCAGAAAATTATTAACTTGCCAACCTGCAATTATTATAAATCCCTGGTAAGTCAACAAACACCTATGCAAGTTATTAATCCGATAATAACAGATTATAAACTGTAACTCCAGAACATTGTTTAAAAATAGTTGGGCCTACATCTTAAATGTACTTAAAACTAAGCTAATATTGTGAAGAGCATAATCAGACATCTCAGTTTTTAACACTTCTGCTACATACTGCAATCTTTGTTTACCTTCGCTTCTGTAAAGTCAGCCGCATCCAACAGAAACACTGTGGCTGCAACCAACATCCAGGATCCTGCTCTATAAGACATTTCTCAACAATAAAGCCTATTCTTGCTGAAAAATTACCATCGATATTCTGCTACAATGATCGACTAAACTGGTTATCGAGCGTAGCAGCTAGTTAGCAAGTTAAAGCACCAATGAAACAAATATTAAATCAGAAGCCGAAGCGGCTCTTAAGCTGTCTGTAGCTATCGGTCCGAAAATTCAAGTTGCAACAGCTGTTAAATTTCTTTTTTAATAACATTCAGGGCTGTATTCCGTTAGGGCCCCGAAGCTGCGGCTAAAGTGACTTTGCCCTTCCTGGTTACGTCACACATGACGTACCTTGAAAAACAACACCGAAGATTGAGCGATGGTGCCATCTGCTGGTCAAACACGGTAGCTACGATTGGAGAATTTACTAAACAATTGGTTCGGATTATCGGCTAAATTAAAATGACGTTAAACAGGTTAGGAGCAAGAATCTATAACCTATGGAGAACATACTCTGCCATATCTAAAAAGAAATAGAGAAATGAATAAATGCTCAATAAATAAATAAGCATTCAATTAATTGCACCCTAAAATACAATAAACAATAATTGTACATAGACATTTAAGTAATAATTACCTTATTTATTTATTGTCCGTTTTAATCTTCAACTTTATTTATTTATTACTTATTTTTTTAAGTATTTATTTATGTGCTTGATATATTTTTGTCTGTTTTATTCTTCCTTTGTATTTTTTTACCCTATTTATTTCTTCAACATTATTTATTTCTGCTTGTCGTTTTTACATTTCTGTATGCATTTCTGTCTCATTATGTAAATGAGGAAGGATGTGTGTTGAGGGGGCAATTAATTGTACGCTTATTTATTTATTGAGCATTTATTTATTTATGTATTTATTTTTAAATATGGCAAAGTTGGTCCTCTATAATAAGCATAACTGTGGAGTAACATTTTGCTTATAGTGTACCTAAGCAAGCCTTCATTTGCTTCTAGAACACAAAAACATAATAAATCAAAATTAAGTCTTGATTTCATAACATTTTGTAAGAAATATAATAGCAACTACAGAAACAATAGTAATTTATCTGGTGGATAAATACAGCAACTATGATTAGAGAAGTTACAAAACAATTAAGAATATGTCTATTGTTTTTTCTTCTTGATTTGTTTTGATTAATATTGTATGTATCAAAAGTCCTAATGGTTCGGGTTATCAGGCAAATTATAATGTAAATCTGACCTTAAACAGGTTAGGAACAAGAACCTTAGTTATTATGCATAACCATGCAGTAAGATGTTAAACATTGTGCATCTGGTGTGCCTAACCAAGCCTTCATTTAGTCCAGGAACACAAAAGCATAACTAAATAAAGTCTTTATTTCGATAACCTTTTGGAAGAAAATAATTAACATAATCAATAGTAATTTATTTTAATCTACCTAAGAGAGTGCTGCATGGCAACACAGTTCATAGCTCTGCTGCTTAAAAGCATAAGGTCCTGGGTTTTTTTTTTTTCATGTTTTCCCTGTACATATTTGGGTTCTTCCTGGGTGATCCGGCTTCCTTCCACAGTCCAAAAACATGATTGTTTGGTAAATTATCTACATTGTATGTACGTGTGAGTCTGTATGGTCATGGCTGAGTGTCTCTGTGTTGTCCTGCTACAAACTGGTGACCTCTCCAGGTTGTTCCCAGTCTTACGCCAACAGACTGATGGAGATAGGCACCAGCCCCATCATGACCTGGATGGGTAAATGGAATAAGATGAATGGATAAGAGATCATCTTTTGGAAAAAGGAGTGATGTTTTAATTTCTTGAAAAAAAAAATAAAATAAAATAAATCAACCAATATTTATACCCAATATGAAGGATGACATCTGCTGCTCTGTGAATTTTAACCATTACTGAAAGCTTGTATTAAATGGACAACAGTTATTCATTGAACTGGAATCAATATCATATTCTAACTCTTGATTACAAATCTACATTTGAAATCAAATGAATACTTTGTTCTTGGTAGAGGCAATAAATGCATCTTCTAGAATTGAATGACGTGCCAGACTTTTCAGGAAATGTTCCTATACCTAACAGTACACATTCTTTTACTTCAATCTTGGCCTTCTTTAGGAATTTAAAATGTAAGCCTCTTTGCCTTGATCTGATCAATACCCCAATTTCCCAGCAATTCTGCATTCACATGTTCCTCTATAGCAAGGCACTCCTACCTTGTACAAGCTGCAGCAATCAATAAGTCACAAATTCAGCCTTAACCACTCGAGTGTGTGTCATAAAGATCAGACAAGAGCATCGCTATTTCACTAATGAGCTATGATATCAGGGCAAACATTGGATACCATCTAACATTTACCTGCAGGTCTTTTTTCATGACCCTGGATCTAACTAGAGGTAAGAAATCTGAACAAAACTCTGTTGTTGGGAGCTTTCTTTTTTGTTTTAAATAGGTAAAAAGAAGTAATTTTAAAAAAAGCATACAGAAGAATGAAATTAGATGTATTTACATAGCGCCAATTCACAACACAAATAATCTCAAGGCACTTTACAGAGACAATTCAACCAGATCATACAGTTAAATTGATTCAAAGTTTTCTATCTAAGGAAAAGCAGTTTATTGCATCGACTCATTGACTCAAAGGCAATCCCTCACAACAAACATGATTATAGTGACAGTGGAGAGGAAAAACTCCCTTTTAACAGGAAGAAACCTCCAGCAGAACCAGGCTCAATGTGAGCGGTCATCTGCTGAGGCCGACTGGGGTTCAAGGAGACAGAGGCAGACCTACAGAAAGAAGCAGAGATACAAAGGAACTTGTCAACCAGCTCCTCTGGCGGCCCCGCCCAGGAAACACACAGCCAGGCAAACGAGCTCTGAGTCTGCTCCCAGTTTAGAGGACAGAGAGAGCACATCCCCGTTTACAGTCAGGGAAACAGGACTACAGTGAAAAACAGGCTAAGCTCAAAAATCTATTAACAAAGGTGTTGAAGGGAGCAGCACAGCTCATATTTCTTTCCAGGATGGTGTCACAGCCAAACAGGAAAAAGCCAGATGAAGCTACTATGAGAAAAAGACGAGAGAACATAACGCCAGAGATTGAACTAACAAATTCTGCAGTCGGGGAATAGAGATAGAATGAAGCATGATGAAAAGGGGATCCCTATGTCCTTCAGCAATCTAAGCCTAAAGCAGCATGACAATAGAGATAGCACTTGATAACCTGAGTTAAGCTTTATCTAAAAGGAAAGTTTTAAGTCTAGCCTTAAAAGTAGTCAGGGTGTCTGTTGGATTAAAACTGGTAGTTGGTTCCACAGGAGAGGAGCCTGATAACTAAAAGATCTGCCTCCCATTCTACTTTTAGAAATTCTAGGAACCACTAGTAAACCTGCAGATTGAGAGTGAAGTGCTCTGTTAGGGACATAGGGAACAATCATATCTTTGATAAAAGATGGAGCTTGGCCAGTTAAGGCTTTATATGTGAGAAGAAGGATTTTAAATTCTATTCTGGATTTAACAGGAAGCCAATAAAGATAAGCTAGGATAGGAGAGATATGATGAGATTTCAAATTTTTACAATATTCCGCAGATGAAAGGAAATTCTAGAAACCTTTTTGATATGGGATTTAAATTACAGATCCTGATCAAAAATAATACCAAGACTTTTTACTTGGATTACCATCCAAATTAAGTGACTGACTTATCAGCTTTTTTTTTTCAAAGACTCTGGTGCAAAGATTAAAACTTCTGTTTTGTCTGCATTCAGGAGCAGGAAGTTAAGAGTTCTCCAGGTTTTTATGTCTTCAAGACATGCCTGTATTCTATGTATATAGCTGAGTAGGAATTAATCCCATGCTAACAATTCAACCAATTGACATGTGTAGTAAAGAGAATTGGTGCTAGCACTGATCCTTGTGGTACTCCACATGTAACCCTGGATCAGGAGGAGGATTTATCATTAATGTAGACAAACCAAAATCAATCAAATAGATATGATTTAACTCAGTCTAGTGTTGTTCCTTTAATTCTTAAAATATATTCAAGTCTTTCTAAAAGAATATTATGATCAACTGTGTCAAATGCAGCACTGAGATCTTACAGGACAAGTAAGATACAAGTCCATTATCTGAGGCCATGAGGATATCATTAGTGACTTTCACTAGAGCTGTTTCAGTGCTATGATGAGTTTTGCTAACTCTTAAAGTTCAACTGAATCAAAGCACCTCGCTATTCCAGCTGGTCCAAGAGCGGATGTAGCTTTGACCAATCGGAGGCCTCCTGTCTGCGGTCACCTACAATATGGAAGAGGTGCAGCAGATTGTCTGTGGAGGGGAAGGGGATGTCTCTGCATTCACTGCAACATCTACGCAAATGTCCTGGTTTCAAAGTATAAATCAGACTTTAGAGTTACTTAGATACAGAGATATCAAAGGAAAAAAATAACTTATTTCAGACAGAGATAGCCTGAATAGCAACGCAGCTCAACAGTCAAAACAGGAAGTGAACACGATCTGTCTCACCAGCAGCAGTAACACCCTCTATTGGCAACAAGAGAATAGATTTAATAAAATGAATGATTGGCGACTCTGTGCCTAGAAACAGCCCTCTATCTTAAGAAAAATTAAATACAACTATTTATGCCTATAAATATCTAAACCAAGGTAAATAAATGTTCCATATCTTTTTCTTCCACTGAATTGGGGAGAGGTGGCCTAGTGGTTAGGACATTGAGCTTGGATCCCAGAGGTTCTGAATTTGAGCCCCACTCCCACAGACTGCCACTCTGGCTGTCTGAGCAAGACTCTTAACCCCACACCGATGGGTTAAATGCAGAGAGTGAATTTAATTGCTTTGTACTTGTGACAATGTAATGACAATAAAGCTGAATTCTTCTATTCTATTACGTTTGGGTGTTGAACAACCAAAAACAAAATCATCATTCATCTTGTTTCAACTCATAAAAAGTTAAATTAAATTAAAGCAATTATTGCAGAATAAACATCCATATTGAATCTCTCTTCATTCCAGGCTTCAGACATGTTCTTGTTCTGGACAATAAAAACAGAACATTCAGAGGTTAACATAATGCATTAATCCCTTTTAAAGGATAACTAATCATAAATATTATATTAAAAAGCTGTTCTTAAATTTTTAAATGAGTTAAATAAAATCCCTCTTATAGCAATTACAGGATATTTTGCTTAACCTTAAACCATTTGGTTAGCTAACAACGATTGTTACGCTGAGTTTGCCCTCTTTCCATCGTCCTGAAAAAACAGAATGGAGAATATACGTACATTTTCAGTTTAACTTTGGT